AATTGTCAATAATGAATTTCACTCGTGAAGAATTAGTGAATATGGTTTACTGTATTGGTCCTTTATTAGCAAGCAAAATGTACCGTCAGAAATATCCTATCCTTATCGTTGGATAGGCAGAGGAGGTATGTACTATTCCCTGGCCCGCACGATCTTCAGACCTAACTCCCCTCGATTTCTTTCTTTGGGGGTACGTGAAAAAAAAAGTTTTCAGAGATCGTCCAACAACTGCAGATGATATGAAAAACAGGATCACGGAAGCCTTCCAATCAGTTGATGGAGCAATGCTTGCTAGAGTTCGGAGCTCATTTACTAAAAGACTAGCAGCTTGTGTGGAACATGATGGTGACCTATTTGAGCAATTTTTATAAGTAACCTTTTCTCAAAATTTTTACATTGTTTTCTGTTAGTCTTTCTTTCCTATTCTTGTAAAGATTACTAAAATTGTTTCCTTTATTGTGATGTACTTCTGTTTCTATTACAATTTCATTTTATTGAAACACATTTTTTTCAGAATTGCATAGATGTGTCAAACTATACCGGCCTACTCGATTTTTTTTTCACTAAAAAACATCAACATTACTTATTTTGCAAAAATCTTATTAATTTTACAAAGTGGACCCCATGAATCCTATATCGACTAAGAACTCATAAAAAATGCCATGCAATGATGCAGTAAAATATAGAGTGTTGTATTTGAAAAAGTCGAGTTATTGCCATTTGTATTTTGTCATTTTCAAAAAATCATAGTACGCGATGGAACATGGATTCGGAGTTTGTCTTTATCTCAGAAGACGCGTTAAAGCTTAAGAAATCAACAGGAAAAAAGTTGGTTAAATTATCTTGAATAATTTTGAAGTTATGAATTTTTTTGTGGGTCGATGTACGATGTAATTTAGACACATAAATTGGCATAAGTCAAAAACTATTGCAGGTAAGTCTAAGAAACTAAGGTGCGTTATATTGACAATTTAGTGGCGAATCCAGAAATGTAATAAAAAATTGGGGTTTTCATTTAAAAAAACAGAACTTAGTTGTGTATCTTATTTGGGACACACTGTATATGAGTAGAAATATTTTTATAATGTGCCTCATTGTTGTATCTATCCTTTGAAAAAAAAATCATGTGGATAACTTCGATAGAAAAAAAGTTGTTGAGCATGCACGCACCCCTGGGTCACCCTGTATGCATAGAAAACTTATAATTTTGTTGATATACCTTTTAATAACAAATATGCATTTTGCATATAATCCGAGCCTTAATGATGATTGCCAATACATTTTGTGTAATTTATTGAAATGAGCTCAAAGTTGGATGCATTTTATAAATTCTTCTTTAGCTTAGTTTCAAAATTCTTACTTTTTCAACTCGTTTCTCAAAAATAATGCAGAAGATACTAATTTAATTGCATTCTTTCCGACGTTCTTTCTAACTTCCTCGTCTTTCGTTGAATTTCTCTCGTTCCTAACGCTTGATTTGATTCGTAACTGAAATTTTTTTCATTAAGTAATTACCACATCAGTGCTCACGTCTGTAATAAATCCGAATCGTCCTGAAACGTCTAAATATTATATCACGGCTCTTGAAAATGAATGGGACTATTGAAATCGAGGGGCCCTTTAATAAATCATCTGTCGAAAGTCTAGTATTATGTTATTACAGTTATTTGCAGCGATTCTGCATCCTGTTTAGTCAAACAATCAACAAAGGGCCTGCACCGGTCAGTTCGCACACAATACGCCCGATAGGGCCTATCCCTTACTCCGACTCAACTCCCGGATCAATAACTCATCCGGCAGAGACGATGCAAGTGCATCTATTAAAAAATTGTAATTCCTGGAAGCTTTGTTAATAAGGGACAAGCTCTAGGGGGCACCCTCTGTCAGAACCCAGCGGGAACTCTTATTGACGTTTGAAAAGGTGCCGAAGTGAAAAATCAAAAAGGGACCCACGATATTTGTGTTTATGATGCCTCCTGGGGCGACTCGAGTTCAGCCACGTTTTCGTTACTGTTAGCATATGTCAGACCTGGAAAGGTGGATAATGAGCTTACTGTCGGATCACTGCATCACAGGACCTTTGTACACGGATCAAGAACGAATTCTACTGCTTTTTTACATTCACTGTTTTTTGAAGCATTGTGCTTTCAGCGATACGATTTTGACTTGAAAACGCAAAACTGTGCTCTTGTTCAAGTTTTCTTTTTAATACAAGACTATTTTCACTGTTTTATTATAAATTAATAGGGTAAATACGGGAGGGATGGACTTTGGAACTTAAAAAACGTGAAAAACAAAATTAATTTTTTTTGCAGTTTTTCAATTCCTCCAATTCTTGTTAAAAAGAATCTAGTTATTGTTATTATAGTCTTGCATTACTTTCAGAGAATCAGAAAGCAAATAAGGATATCACTTTTTAAATAAACGAAACAACAAACAAACAAAAAACAAAACAACAAACAAAATAACTCTTAGTAAAAAATTGTTATTTCTCATAGAAAATATTTTTTTCTCACAAGATTTTGATTTAGTTTTTAAATTTTATTTTTAAACATTTGCAAGTG